CTCTCGTTTGAATTTTCCAATGAAAATTTTACAAAAATATTTCTTTGAAACCATGGGCAAATTCTTTGTTTTATTTAATAGGTCCGACAAATATTCTCATCCAAAAACATATAGCATAAGATATCTAACAAAAATTATGGGAACATTTTTTCATTTTTAATCATGCCCCTTATATAGAAAATAAAATTGAAAGAAAGAAAGATATATAATGAACTAATTTACAACTCAACCGGTTATAATTTAATTCAGCTCATTACTTTATTAAAGTCGTAACATAATCTATGTCAACTAAAGGAAATATGATACGTATCAATATTTACAATTTAATCTTTGATTCTATTATTTAAATCTTGACGGTAGCTTCTATCATTTCTTTTGCAATATTTTTTTTCCCTAACTTCAAAATATAATTTTTATGTCTTTTTTAACTAATGTATGTGGAATTCTAGTTATACGTTTATACTTTGTAAGTTAATCAATTATTTGGTCAAGTCAACTATACATAAATTATTTGTTCGTAAAAAATTAAAACATTTATTAGTTTCGATGATTTTATTATGTTCAATTGAGAAAAATTATAATTTTTTTATTTAATATATTTAATAGCGTAAAAAGTATGACAAATGAGAAAGATGACAAATTATGAAAATTATAATTTATTAATTGTAAGGACATTGTGTTATTTTGATGGTATGCCATTTTTGTTAACTAAACGGTGTCCTAAATATGAAATTATTTTGGATCTGTCACTGCAATTATCATTCCATTGATTTTTTTACAATTCCAATGACAAATGACAATTTCTAACAGTTGAATTATGAAAAAAAATCTCCAACGTAAATTCACACAACAATAATGGTAATTAGAATCATTCAACATACCCAGTATATTCCCAACAGGTTGGGGTATGGGGCATCAGTTGTACGCAGACCTTACCCTTGTAATTATACAAGGAGGTTGTTTCCATAGTGACCCAAGGTGCGTTGCGTCGTTTGATATATTTTTTTTCTAGAAACTTCACTAATAGAAGAAGCACTAGAATTTAATTGAGTCATTTTGATCTAGTCCATTATTAGCACTATGCCAGGAGAATTGTCAACAATGACTCTTCCAGCTCCATATGCAATGGACATGGTAATTAGAATCATTAAATCCGCTAAAATTTTAATGTAATTTAATTTGATTTTTGTTGGAATAGTCAATAAAATTTTCCAATGGAAGTTATTCCAATGAAATATCAATTGGAAGTTCCCGTGGAATGCTTTAACGTTGGATTTTTCATTGCAACATAGATTTTTTTTTGTTCATATTCCTTCTTAATCATTAAGAATTTTATGTAGTATCTTTTGTTATTAATTACTTGTGTTTACAAATCTTCTATTAAAAATATATCAAACACGTGAACTTTTTCAAGATTTTTTTTGTTCGTATTCCTTCTTTTTTTTTTCGAAACGGCAGGATATTCCTTCTTAATCATTAAGAATTTTATGTAGTAGCTTTTGTTATTAATTACTTGTGTTTAAAAATCTTCTATTTAAAATATATCAAACACACGAACTTTTTCAGTTCATATATTTATTTTAGAAATCACTCATTATTTTATTTCTAGAATACTTATTAATTTCTCAATCGAGTTACATTTCTTACATATAAAATATTAAATAATAAAAATAATTAGTATTGTTTATAAGAAATATGATATGTATATATTACATTAAAAAAACTAATAACAAAAAAAAAGTTATTTCGAATTACAATAATCAAGTATTTTTTTTTTTTAAATCTTAAAATTTCTAACCTACATGGATAAAAGTAGAAATAACCATTGTCTATCACCTAAAACTTACACATAAAATTAGTAAGGGGAAAAACATAACAAGTGTTTAACAACTTAATTCTTTTACATTTATAAGTACAAGTTTTAAAAGTTTAGTATTTATTTTTATTAATTATATCATTTTTATTTATTACTCCTTTTCATATTCATTTGTAATTCTTACAAATTAATTATATTTTTTAATATTAAAATAATATTTCATTGCTTCATATTGTTCTTTTCTTATTTATTATTAAGTGTTACAAATCAATTATATTTTCAATATTATTTATCAGATTTTTTAATTTTTTTACTTTATTGTTCTTTCATATCTTTTTCCTTTAGAGTTGTTAAACAATGCATACAATTAAGTATAGGACTTTTTGAATAACGTATTATTTATATGAATTAAATTAACTGTGTATCTTTATAATATCTTATATTTAATTATAATTTTCTCATTAAAATTATATTCAAATATATAAACTTTTTATTTCTTACATTCTTTTAACAGAACACTGTTTTATTATAATAATACAAAATAATAGATAGATTAGTAATGGTAATATATCAATATGACTTTTTCGTAAAAATAATTTTTTTCAATGTATATAAGTATATCATGATTCTCGAGATATTGTTAATTAATTTATAGATAATTATATGATAAAAAATAATTCATGTTGCGCAAGTGGCATCTCATTCCATGTGAAAAAAAATTGGTCGATTTTTAGTATTATGCAATTTATTTAATTATTTTAATCATATTTGTAAAACATCCATTAAACAATTAATCTCTCATACTAATACACAATTCATTCTCTTTTATAGTTTGTGGTTATTATGAGGACAATCAATATCAATTTCAAATTTTTTACTTATAGTTATTAATAAATTTACAAAATTAAATAAATATTACTAAAATAGTTATCTTATGTGATAGGTTACTTATGGTCAATAAATTCTCAAAATTTATTGAAAAAAATCATATAATCATTTAAGAATGTTAAGATAATATCAATAAATAAAATATATAATGTGTACATTTATAATTCTGATTGTTTATTTAGCGCCTATCTTTAAAATTAATGGTTGAAATAAAAAATAATAGTTAAAATATCATGATGTATTTTAGTTACTTATTGAATTAAAAAGTTCGAATATTTTAAGTGTGAATAGGATATTAACCACATAACATGAAAGTTCGTTAACTTTATTGGTTTTTTTTTAACAAAACTGGAAAAGCAAACAAAAAAAATAATTAAATGACGATCTTTGTGGGATTGAAATTCAATCCAATAAGACTAAGGTGCAATTTTTAATTTTAACTCTTAATACAAGAAATTATTTTTTTCAAATAGTGATATAGTTAAATGAATTACTCCACTTTTCTAGTTTGTTAGATTATCTATAAATTTTACTGTGAATGATTTCGATAAAATTTTTAACTATCTTCTCTTAATTAAAGTTATGTATGTACCTTTGAAATTATTTATTATATACAAATTACCCATCAATTAAGTTTTCTTAGTTTTATCATGATTTACCGTTTTGTCAAAATTGTATATAGGTAAATAACTAGTTGAAAATATTTGGATTCTTTATTTGTTTTTATTATGTTGTTTATTAGATATAATTACGATTTTACCATTAAAATGGGATTAAAAATTAAAAATAAGGATTATATTACAAAAACAACAATTCTATATCTTTTTAAATTTTTGTCGTTTGGGTTGATGTTGGTCTGATTTTTGGGATATATGGAATAAAACAGTTTGTGAGATTTGTGAGGAAGAAGGCAAATTCGTGTGACCAATAATGGTGCAAGAATATTGTGGTTGATTTTTAAGAGAACTGGAATATTTTGTTCGTGTATTTGTATTTAATAAATTAAATATTAGTTATTAAGTAAAAATATAAGATAGGATGAGTATTAGGTATTATTAATTTGCCATTAAAAATATGTGATAGTAAAGATAGTTCTTTTTTTTTACAAAACCATTCGTCTGTTTGTAATTGTACATATTTGCAAATAGTGCTATGGCATGCTATGATAGTTCATTATCTGATGACAAATTAGTGTTATGCAATGAATTTTGATATTTGTATTATCATCGATATAGTGATGACATTGTGGGTGTGATACTGTTATCAGGTACTGGACGGAAAACCATATAACAGAAAATGTGATGTGTACAGTTTTGGAATATGCTTATGGGAAATATACTGTTGTGATCTTCCATACACAGACCTTAGCTTTGCAGAAATCTCCTCTGCTGTTGTTAGACAGGTACAATACCTTTGATTCTCCGCTTAATTAAATTCATGGTTGGTTTTAGTGGGTGAATACATATTTTTGTTTCGAAAATTCTCCTATAAGATATGGTTTTGGGGGGGTTTGTTTGTTACAGAATCTGCGGCCTGAAATACCTCGGTGTTGCCCGAGTTCTCTGGGGAACGTGATGAAAAAGTGCTGGGATGGAAACCCTGAGAAAAGGCCAGACATGGATGAGGTTGTGAGATGGTTGGAAGCTATAGACACAAGCAAAGGAGGAGGCATGATACCTGAGGACCAGGCTGCCGGCTGTTTTTGCTTTGCTCCAACTCGCGGTCCTTGAACTCTTCTTTTCATTGTCTGCAATTGCATTTTCTTATTCTGTATGTTTTGCCTGTGATAAAATGATTGTAATCTAGTTGTTGGTCAATTGATAAGGAGTGAATGAGTTCTGTTGTTATTATTGTTATCATTATTATTATTATTATTATTATTATTCAAAACTTGTGTGTAGTTTGGTTACCATCAAAATTAAAATAGAAAAAAAGAAATGAGGGAGAAGAAGTTATTCAAGATGTGGATGGTGTCGGCTAATGACAACAACCTGCTGATCAAACACCAGCCGGGGCGTTGAGGAGCTATTGTTAGTTGTGAAAATTCAAGCACAGTGAAACAGTAAAACAAGATTAAATAAAATATAGAAAAATTTCAGTTTTTGTCTTGTTGGTTTTGACATCTTTATTTTTGCATTTAATACTATAATTTAAATTTTTGTTGCAATTTTAATCTTATTGATATCGGACAATCTTTTGTACCATCAAAAATGACATGTGCCCCGCACGTAATGTATTTTGCTGCTAATTTTCATGACATGGCAATCCACAAAAAAAAAAAAAGAAAAAAAATATAAATAAAATTGAAAAACATGAAAATCCATGTGGAAGACAAAAAAATTGGATAAAATGAAATAATTATGTCTATTATTTTTTTTTTTTTTTTTTGCCAGAACGATAGAGTCTATATTAAAATTACTTGTTAGTTTTTACACATCAGATTTAGGCTAAAAAATAAACCCCATTCTTGCATGGGGATGCATCACGTGATTTCTACGGGCAGTCAATGAGGATGAAATCGGCCTCTTTTCTTATTTTGTTGGGCTCAACCAATCGGACCGTACCTTTCTAGCCAAACCCTAAGGAAGTTTGGAGATGTTGGAAAAAATCAGTTATAAAACTTGATTTTGACTAGGTTTTGACTGAATTTTGATAGTTAAATATTTAATTCAGATTGAATTAAATTGTGTAAAAAAATTCTACGTTTCAAGTAGATACTCATGGTATATTATTTTTTTCTCAAAACATATTTTAAGTGTGTGAAAAATAAATTATTAAAGCTAGTCATGAATGAGAACGTAAAACGATAATTGTGGAATTCGAAGGGTAAAATGTTCTTCCCACATTGGACTCTTAAATAGATTAACTCGCTTTATTATAAAATAAAGAGAGTTGGAGATGTCACAATAACAACAAAGCTATGCACCAAGTTTGGTATGGATGTCGGCCACACGTGAGCGCGTACGCCGCTCGCCTGTCGGCCAGCCGGCTCAACTCGGGCTCGAGCCTGGGCCTGGGCCTAGAACGTGGGACTTGGGCCTTGATCCTGGGCAATTAGACTTAGGGCCTGTCTTGGGCTTGGTGTTGGGCAATGGCCTTGAGCCTAACCCTCTAATTTTTTTAGTGCAAATTTATTTGGAAATTTGATTCCCAAGATAAAATTCAAACCGATTTGGGTTTGGACGAGAATTTTGACCCAACCCGCGTGAGAATTTTCAGGTACATTGAACTTGGACGTGCGACGTTTCACCTGTCCAGCTGACAGTTTTGGCGGTTATCAGGTGGAGTGAAGGGGAGTTAACACCTGAAAAACTATCCATTTGTAACTACCATCAGTGGACTGTTACAAGCTGAAGAGTCACCGCTCACCTAGCTGGATGTCCTATAAATAGGACAATGTAGAAGTTGTAGAAGGCGCAAGACATACATGTGTATATCATTATATATTGAAATCCTCACGCATAATATACATTGCTCAGTTCTTCACTCTATTCGTGTTCGCTGGAGCTCTGAAAGTGTAGTGTGTTACAACTAGAAATAGCCACGGGTTGGACCGGCCCGTGAACCCCTTAAGGGTCGGTTACGGGTCGTGTTGTACTCCTTTCTGATCGCTGGGTCAGGCCCAAGCTTTCCGACAGGTTACAATTGTAATTTAATTTTTTATTATTGCTTTTTTTTAAACCGGCGGTTCAATGAACCGCCGCCGGTCCTTTGATATAGTCGGGCCATTCACGGGCCCAGCATTTGAGGCCCGCTGACCCGACGGGTTGGGCCGGCCAGTGAACCAACCTGGGCCTTAGCCACGTTTAGTTACAACTTCTGAGTCAACAGCCGTTGTATCTTTGAGGACATTATGCACAGACTCTTTAACACTATACGGGGTGTATTTGTCTTGTAGACAGAGTAACACTCGGCTCGACTGATTCTCTTCCTGCATCTATATTTTTGTGTTTATTTTTTCTGTTTTAGTTCAAGTTGTACGAACTGAAAACACAATCTTCATTTCATAAGTTACGCTTGTAATTTCGAAACACTTTGTTTGTAACAATCGTAAGACAAATAGCTTGCACCTACTGAACTTATGGCATCCACTGGAGAAGATTCGCAAACTCAGCAAACCCAACAACAGCAGCAGCAGTCGATCAACACCGTTTTTCCTCATCTTCATCTAGTACATGTTGTCCACGTCTCCACCGCTGAAAAGCTCGAGAAATTCAATGGGCTTGATTCTAGAGGTGGCAGTAGAAGATGCACTTCTATTAAACTACTCTGGGTTTGGTGAAGTATTTGAAGGACGATCCCCCGGTTGTGGCTAAAAATGAACAAAAGTTGTGCTACGCGTCGCATATGATGCTTGGAGGTAATGTGATTACGTTTGCCAGAACTATGTCTTGAATGGACTGAGTAACAAGTTGTACGAAGCGTACAACTCAATTGGTTCTGCCAAAGAGTTTTGGGCTGCCTTGGAGACGAAGTACAAGATTGAGGATGTTGGGTCGAAGAAACTCATCGTCGGAAATCTTCTTGACTTCAAGATGGTTGACTCGAAGGCCGCCTTGTCTCAAGTGCAAGAGTTTCAACTGATCCTGTATGACATCCATGCTAAAGGAATGACTTTGAGCGAGTCGTTCTGAGTTGTGGTTATGATCGAGAAGTTTTCTTCGGCTTGAAAAGACTTTAATAACTACCTCAAATATAAGAGGAATGAAATGAGTCTTGAAGACCTCATGGTTCATCTTCGCATTGAGGAGGACAACTGTAAGTCTTCAAGGAAAGCACCGATGAAGGAGACTCATGATTACTTGTTGGATCAAGGAAACTCGAGTAAGAGAAAACCCCTTAACAAGGAGAAGCAGCCCTCCAAGGTTTGGAAGTTCACTGGCAACTGCCACAATTTTGAAAAGCCGAACCACATGGTGAAAGACTGCAAAAAGCCAAAGAAGGCTGAGCTGAAGAGGGTGCAACTGAGTTCCCTCATTACTGAACACGGACTTGTGCTGGGTGAATTGACCAACTTTGATACGTCAGTTGTGGTGTTTGAAGCCAACATGGTGGATAATTCAAGGGAGTTGTACACTGATATTGGTGCCACTCACCATGTTTGTTCCGACAAGTAGTTGTTTTCTGACTACCCTCCTTCTACAGGTAAAAAATCCACATGAAAAACTTCTCCTCGTCTGATATGGCTAGAGTTAGCACAGTGGTGCTAAAGCTAACTTCTAGAAAGGAGTTAAATCTTAAGAATGTTTTGCATGTCCTCGACATCCGCAAGAACTTGGTCTCTGGATGTCTTCTTGTGGATCATTGAGGTAGACTAGTGTTAGATTCTAAAGGATTTGTTCTTAGCAAGATTGGAACTTTTATTATTTGTGGCTATCTCGACAAGGGATTATTAAAAATGATCATAATGGTTGTGAGTCGTGTACTCGTTTCCATTGATAATGGAAAGCTTACTTCTGTTTACATTGTTGAGTGCTCTGATTTATGGCATATTAGATTATGACATGTAAATCTAAATGGAATTAAACGATTGATAAATTTGGAATTAATTCTTAATTGTACAATTGAGTCACATAAAAAATGTGAAATTTGTCTTGAAGACAAAATGACTATGTTACGTTTTATTTTGGTGGAAATGAGTACTGAACCATTGGACTTAATTCATATTGATGTATGTGGTTTGAAAATTGTGCAAGCAAGAACAGGTAAAAAAATATTTTATAACTTTTATCAATGATTGCACAAGGTTGTGCAACTTATATTTGTTAAAAGACGAGGTTGTGGAAGCGTTTAAGAACTTTAAGACCAAAGTCGAAAATCATCTCGTCAAAAGGATTAAAATAATTCAAAGTGATAAGGGTGGGGAGTATGTAGCTACTTTTGAACAATTATGTTCTGAATGTGGCATAATTCATCAAATGATGGGCCCCTATCCTCCACAGTCGAACGGTGTCGTTGAACGCAGGAACCGAACCTTACAAGTAATGATATGCCATATTGATAAATTCATGATTACCCTAAAACATGTGGAGGGAAGTTGTTTTTACAGCAAATCATATTCTGAATAAAATATCACCTAAAGGGAAAAATGAGATTCCTTACAAAATATGGAAAAATCGTAAGACGTCTTATAAATACCTGAAAGTGTGGGGGTGTTTGACAAATGTTTTAGTTCCTGAACCCAAACAAATGAGAATTGGACCAAAGATGATCGATTGTATTTTTATTGGATATGCGTACAGTAGTACTGCATATAGATTTATGGTTCATAAATTAGCAAATCTGGAGGTATCAGTTGGTACCACATTTGAGTCGAGGAATGTTTTATTGTTTGAGAATAATTTTCCTCTGAAGGAATGGGCAGAATTTGGTACTAACAAAAGGGCATATGAAACTGCTAGCGGTTCTGTAGCGGATGGTACTGAACAAAAAAAAAAAGAAGAATAAAAATGTGGTAAAAGGGTAAAAATGGAAAAAAATGTTTGAACTTGATTTTACTACATTCATGTTGAATGATGAAACGAGTTCTATTAAGGAAGCTCTTTCTAGCCTAGATCAGTGTTTTAAAATGCGCATCGCGCATTGCGTCGCGTTTTGGTCCTTATATTGCGTAGCGTAAATAGCGTAGCGCATTGCGTAAGCTATTCGAGCAATTAACTTTTAATATCAGAAATAATAATATATAATCATACAAGCGAATAAATAATTAAAAGTCTTAAACCATAAATTA